CATTTTCAGGCCATTTTCCAGCTGTTTTCTGGGCTGTTTTGGGGGCATTTTCTGGTCATTTTCAGGCCATTTTTGGGCCCTTTTCAAGCCATTTTTGGGGCATTTTCAGGCCATTTTCCGGGCTGTTTTCAGGCCATTTTAAGGCTGTTTTTCGCTGCTTTTCGGGACAAAAACAGCCTGCAAAAAGGGCCTGAAAATGGCCCAGAAACATCCTGAAAACGGCTTGAAAAACGGGCGCGAGGCCAACCAGTGGTGAGGTTTGCTGGTTCACCGAACTGTGCCTAATCTTAACTATGGGTCTGCCATAACTGGTGCAAACCGGCAGCAGCCCACCTCTGGCTTTTTTCAAGAGGAAACTAGAGCTTCTGGTTTTTCTTTGAAAATGTTTCGCTTCTCCTCCAGGAAGCTTCTTCAGCTCTGACTAGATTCTCCTTCCATTCCCCACCATCTGGTCAGAGCTGAAGAAGCTTCTTGGAGAAGAAGTGAAACTTCTTCAGAGAAAAAACAGAAAGTCCAGCTGCCTCTTCAAAAAAAAAAAAAAAAGTGCCTTTGGGAGTTTGTCCCAAAGATGTTTCCCCCCCCACCCCCAAAAGGTGTACTGGACTTTCTTGGATTTTTTTTTCTTTTGAAAACATTTCACTTCTCATCCAAGAAGCTTCTTCCGTTCTAACTGACTGCTCTCTCTGTCGGGAGGAACAGTTAGTGGTAGAGCATGCCATTCGGACGCAAGGAACTGCTAGTTTGATCCTCAAAAGCATTGCCAGTTGGTGGCGATGCCAATGGGGACAGTGTTGAGGTAATTCCCCGTTAGGAGAATGAGTACATACAGGGAGACATATTTGAGAGGAGTGTTTGAATAATACACACAGAGTACACAGATACACTGTACAGTAAGTGTAGGTTTTTACTTCCAGAAAGGTTTAAGCAAAGTCCAAAATAAGCAGTCCAAAAGTCATTCACAGGTAAATCAGTCAGTTTTTCAATCCAGGGATAATCCAAATATCAAAGTCCAGTGTAAAAAAAAAGGTTCAGTAACAGACTTACATTAAATCGAGTAATATCAATCAATTAGAAGAAATGGAGCAACAGCAATACTTTCCAACAGAAGGAAACAGAGATACTCACTCACACACACTCTCTTCCGAGACTAAGACTAAACAAACCAGGTTTCTGGCTCCCTCTTATGGCCATTTGAGAAACCACACCTAATTACAGTTTTGCATTTTCTTAAAGTTACAGTTTTAAAATGTTTATCCTGGTTTATATATTTCTAACCCAAATAGCTGTTAGGTGACTCATATTCCTAACAGACATAGGATCTCGATCAAAGCTGTTTCCTGTCTTAAAAAACGAGACTGAAAAGCAAGGGAGTCATTTCTCAGGAACAGATCTGAGATCTGGATAGTCCGACTTGATTTAGGATGGTGGTTCATGCCCCCGTCGGAACCTGAATCTGTGGAGGAAGACTAGCTGGAACTGGAGATGACAGAGATCGAGGGGCGGCTTTGAGTGGAAAATGGGGAGGATCAGGCCCAGTCAGTCCAGGGCCTTTCAGGATTAGGATGGCTTGTAGGCAGGGAGGAAGTGGGGGCAGGATGACCAAGAAAGGCTAAGCAGTGAACATGAGAGACAGAGCTCAGGCGATGAGCAAAGACCGCCCCTCCTGATCCTCGAGCACGGAGAGTGGAGAGAAGGCGAGAACAGCACAGATTGACCCAACTACTCAGGAGGAGAGCACCCCGCCCCTCTTCACAAGGCACACCTAGGGACTGAGACTTAAGGAGATGCTGTGGGGAGGGAGCATTTGTCAGGAACAAATGCTGAATTCCTGGAGCGTCGAGTGCCGACATTTGAACTTTCCTGGATTCCTTGCATTTTTTCTGGATTACTTGCGGTGCTCCTTTGCTTCTTGGACTCCTCAACTTGCCCTGCTGGATTTCTTGCTTTGCAGCCATTGTGCTCACAACATTGTGCCAGAGGCTGCTGGAGGTGTATGTTCTATTCTATTCTATTCTATTCTATTCTGTTCTATTCTATTCCTTGTCTTGTCAAATATTCTTCTTTTGATTCCAGGGGGGAAAAAATCCTTTTTCAGAGATATTCTGCAGGCCTGCTGGCCCCCAATTATTCTTGTAGTTTTTTTAACATCTGTTTGAACATGGGACTATTGGCACCGCTCAAGGCTAAATGCCACAAAGGAGGAAGTCAATCACACAGTGTCTCCCAATCATCTATGGGATTGATTTATTAAGTTTCTAGTCCTGAGGATGAAGAGATTTGGAATTCTGAGTGTTGTAGCTGGACCTATCTAGAATCCATTGACGAGGGAAGACTTTTGAAGTCTTAAAAAAGTCAGATTTCTCACTGTTCTATCCAGGCAGTATAAAAGTACATCTTTTCTACCTTATTCCACTCATTTCTGTCTTTTATTTTGTTGTCTTTTATTTTGTTTTCTCTCATTGTGTTTCATTAGACTCCTCTTTGAAGCATGTGGTTTTTACCCCATGATATCAAGTTGTAGACCTGCCTCAGATTCCCTTGTGAACTGTTCGGCAAATCTATCTGGGCCTTTTGAAAGCTCCAATTTTTATTATATTTTCTTTGGAGAAATGCTCTCGGTGTCCTAGCAACCTCCAAATAACCTGTGGGTGAAGCAAACAACGGCAAGAAAATGTACAATTGGCTTCAGGTGGCAAGAATCAAGTTAATGGCCCATAACTATTTCTAAATAATATTTTGAATGGGATGAAATGCCAGAGTAGAAATGTATGGGAGGTTTAATGAGTACAATTTTGTGCTAACCCCGAGGCTTTTCAGAGAGACACAAGTTAGTCAAAAAAGAAACAGCTAACAGGGTTTGTTTGTGGGCTTAAATGCAGCTAATTTGATCAACTTCTCCAAGCAACCTTAAGACTTGGTGGGGTGGGCTTTGGGGTGTGTGTGTGTGTGTGTTGCATTTTGAGTGGAGTCCCTTTCTCCTTTTTCTATGGCCGCTATTACAATTAAAATATTGAGTTGTGTTTGGCTTGTATAATTTGATGAAAATTGCCTGTTTCTCCATCATTCCCTTGGCGAATGGAGAGATTTATTTTCCAGTCAACTGGGTTAAGGAAATTGATTAGATCTCTTTGAATGAAGCTGCAGAAACAGGGTAATTTTGAGAGAGCAACTAAGAAGGATATTTAGAAGATACCCCAAAGATTGAGGCTGTGAGCTTCCTTCTAAACGATGGTGTGGCACCAAGCTGCCAAAACAGAGGCAATATAGTAAAATCTTTAATGAGAAAGGAGGGAGGAAGGAAGGAAAGAAGGAAGGAAAGAAGGAAGGATTAGAAGGAAGGCAGGGAAGGGAAGAAGAAAGGGAGGGAGGGAGGGAGGATTAGAGGGAAGGCAAGAAAGAAAGAAGAAAGGGAGGGATGGAGGAAGGGAGGAAAAAAGGAAAGAAGGAAGGATTACCGGGAAGGCAGGGAAGGGAAGAAGAAAGGGAGGGAGGGAGGGAGGGAGGGAGGGAGGAAGGAAGGAAGGAAGGAAGGAAGGAAGGAAGGAAGGAAGGAAGGCCTTAGCATAATACAATATAAGGAAAACTTGGCTTAGCAGTAGTATACTTTTTAAAAAAAAGACTCTGAGTGTCCCAGTACATCATAAATTGAAAATTAACCAACATTTCACGTGTCACCATGGTATTAGTGTTCAAAATGCAAATGCTATTTGTGGATATAATAGCAGGTTCCCAGAATCCAGATTGGAGAAATCATTGCCTTGAATCTGTGTCGGAAGTGACAGAAACAGAAACCAAGATTCTTCCCGAGCTCAGCCCTTTACTGTTTCACACCTACAGACAAAATCTTGCCCAACTGAAAGACTCTTTCATCTGCATCTCCAATATACTCAGGGAACTATCAGGGAGAGACTGTCCACGCCCTTTTTCTCTCACACATAATATCTAGGCTGAGTTGCCTCTTAGTCCTCTGGGATGCAGCCCCTCCCTCCTGGGGAATCTCCTTACATTCAGTTACATAAAGAAAGAGACTAGTTATCACATCCTTCGAGTAATCACATTTTCCCTCTTCTATTTTCAAGCTATCAAAGAGAAATACTCGGATTGGACGGAGTTCCTCATACGTGATTTGACGGGCTCACGAACAGTACCAGCAAATTTACTAGAAGGCGTAGGTATTGATTTAATTTCTGTTCTCCAGGGCTGTAGGTTTGCCACCCAGAAGAAAAATAAGGGATAGGATACAGGATTGAATATTTAATCAGGTCAATAAATAGTCTATTATGTTTGCACATGCAGGATAGGGACAAATGTCCTATTTCTTTCTCTCTCCCTCCCTCCCTCCTCTCTTCCTTCTCTCTCTCTGTCTCCCTCTCCCTCCCTCCCCATCCCTCTCTCCCTCCCTCTCCCCTCTCTTTCTCTCTCTCTCACTCTCTGTCACACAGATACACACAAACATATACAGGAGTTTCTCACCTTGGCATTTTTAAGACCTGTGAACTTCAACTCCCAGAATCCCCATGCTGGCTGGGGAATTCTGGGAGTTAAAATCCACCGATCTTAAAGGTGCCAAGATTGGACACTTCTTGTCTAATTAATATGGAATATTTAACCAATTCAGTAAATTAACAAGTCCTAGTTTATATTGTTTGCACGTGAAGGGCCGAATGTCCAATGCCTTCTCTTACCTGACCGTACCCTAAAGTTGCATCTCTTCACCTCATCTCACCTGGGCTTCCTCACGTAGCCGTACATGCAGGAACCCTAGGAAAAATTGAGAAAAATACGAAGTGTTTTTGAGAAGGGAGTTGGACTAGAAGACCTCCAAGTTCAAGGGTGACATGATAGCAGTGTTTCAATATCTCAGGGGTTGCCCCAAAGAAGAGGGAGCCAAGCTATTCTCCAAAGCACCTGCAGGTAGAAGAAGAAGCAATGGATGAAAACTAATCAAGGAGAGAAGCAACTTAGAACTAAGGAGGAATTTCCTGACAGCGAGAACAATTAATCAGTGGAACAGCTGGCCTCTAGAAGTTCTGGCTGTTCCATCACTGGAGGTTTTCCAGAAGAGACTGGACACTTGTCTGAAATGGTATAGGGTTTCCTGTTTGAGCAGGGGGTTGGACTAGAAGACCTCCAAGGTCCCTTGCAACTCTGTTACTCTGTAAATTCTGTAGAAGAGGCATCACCAAGAGCAGCAAGGGAAACTTTGGATGGAAAAATAAGCAATGTCACAGCACTCCATCTCCCGCCCTTCCGTCCCAAAAATCAGGTTGCAAATGGTTTCTTGTTTTTTTAGTTTTCCTAGAAGGAATTTTTTTAAATGTATTGATTATTAAATCTATTGGCCATCTCTCTTACTTTAGGCCAACTGATGCCTAATAGGAAGGAAAGGAGGAGGAAAATGGGATGGCAAATATAGTGTGGAGGAAGGAGGAACAATGATTTCCTAGAAGAGTGGATAGAGGGAAATTGGCGGTTTTCTAGGCATGGCTAAGCCAGAGGTCTCCAAACTTGGCCACTTTAAGACTTGTGGACTTCTATGCTGGCTGGAGAATTCTGGGAGTTGAAGTCCACAAGTCTTAAAGTGGCCAAGTTTGGGGACTCCTGGGCTAAGCAGAGATCATGTTCTGTGAAGTGTAAAATAAGGGGTGTTGCTTCTGTTCAAACAGCCTCTGCGAGGGAAAAACGCTGTGGACCTCATTGCCCTGGATTCCTTAATAGAGCTGCAGGGTGGACAGAGTCCCTTTCAGTTCTGGATAGTGAGCGTGGTTGAGAATGTCGGCGGAAGATTGCGCCTTCGCTATGCAGGGTTGGAGGAAACTGACTCTTACGACCAGTGGCTTTTCTACTTGGATTGTAGACTTCGACCGGTGGGCTGGTGTCAAGAGAATAAATACCAGCTGGAACCACCTGCAGGTACCAGAAATTACTACCTATTCACCTATTATCTGTCCTTCCTTCCATGCATTCATCTAACCAACCATTCCACCATACACCCATTAATAAATCCATCCATCCATCCATCTAACCAACCATTCCACCATCCACCCATTAATAAATCCATCCATCCATCCTTCTGTCCATTCATCCACCATAAATCCGTCCATCCATCCATGCACCCCTCCATTCCATCCATCTACCCATACTTCCATCCATCGATCCATCCATCTAACCAACCATTCAACCGTCCACCCATGCATAAATTCATCCCTCCATGCACCCCTCAATCTCATCCATCTATCCATCCACCCACCCATCCATCTAACCAACATGCATCCATGCTTCCATTCATCCATCTACCATCCATCCAACCATCCATTCACCCATGCATAAATGCACCAACATGCATACATACTTCCATCCATCTATTCTAACCATTCATCCATCCATCCATCCACCCACCCACCCACCCACCCACCCATCCATCCATCCAAGGTGTTAATGTCATTTGATTCATCTTGAGAAAAGCTAAGCAAAGTCAGAAGTGGGTGGTCTTTGGACAAGCCAGGGAAATATCAGGCTAAATTGGGAATGCAAAAGCACACACAGACACAGACACACACACACACAAACACACACACACACCACCCTAGAAAAAAGCTACTGTTGCAAATAAAACAAAGTTGATGTGACTCAAGGTCAACAGGATCCAACTTAGCTCAAAGCAATCTTCATTTCAGGCAAAGAAAACATCTAGACATCTTTGGCTGATCTTGAAAAGCTAAGCAGGATTAAATTTAGCGGGCTCTGTGTAGGTGTAAGCAGCACCCTAGGGCTATAATTTTCCTGGAAGAAACAGAGGAATATCTCTGTGCGGTCATCAATCTTCTTTTGAAGCTTTTAATAAAGTCTTATTAAAAAAGATAAAGTAAAGAGATGAACTTGATTCAAGGAAGTCTTTATTTCCCCTAATCTTATTTTAAGCAGCTGTCTCACGTCTTAACAATATGGATTTTAAAGTGGTGTGACTTTGCTTTGTCGAGTTTTCTTTTCCCGTTTTTTAACATCAGGCAGCCTAATGGCCTGGCCAGCTGGGGAATTCTGGGAATTGAAGTCCACAGTTTTTAAAAATCACCAGGGTTGAGACCAACCCTGATTATGGCTGCAGCTGAGGGAATCCCCTGTTTTTCTCACCAAAACTAGCTGCATCGGAGCGGCTGTGAAAAGGCCAGCATGATACACAATAAAAGCTCATTTAGGGCAAAGTGCCAGGCATCTGAGCTTTTTCCTCTTCATTAACAATTAAATTGACTTCTCTTTCTCCACAGAGACGAGCCAGGCTTCCTCAAATCAAATAACCCTTTCACTTTCCCATCGTGGTTCTTTCTAGATGTGGCTTGGAGGAGTGATGTCCTAAACAATGCTAAGGAGAACCCGTTAAAGGGGGGAAAATGTCCAAATTTACTTGGAAAGAGTTCATTTTGCTTAAAATACTACAAGGGAATTCCCACCTTAAACTCCACAGACTTGGTTCAGTGCAAAGGAGACTTTATAGCCAAATGTTTATGAAAAGTGCAAGTATTGTTAGGGTTTGGAGATTAACCCCTAGAAGAGTATTGCAGCAGTAGT